GTGTTAGGGTCCGTGGCGCCCCCCCCCCCCCCCGAATCCATGGAGCACACTTGCTGGTTCTGGGTAGGTGTGCCATCCCTTGACCTAACTGATTTTTCAAAGCTGTTTGGTGGCTAGAATAACATTTGGAGCTTCTCGGGAGAAGGATCGAATTCACACATAGTAATATCTTCAAAGATATTACGGGGACGGCAAAGGATGAGATGGTTAGACAGTGTCATCGATGCAATGAACATGAAATTGAGCAAACTTCAGAGGACGGCGGAAGACAGGAGGGCCTGGCGGGATCTGGTCCATGGGGTCGCGAAGAGTTGGACTCGACTGTGCGACTGAACAACAACAACAAATATCTTCAAGGCCCTGACCCGGATGGCCCAGGCTAGCCCAATCGTGGAAGCTAAGCAGGGTCGGCCTCGGCTAGTGTTTGGATGGGCGACTCCCAAGGAATACCAGGGTCTTGATGCAGCTCTGAAACATCTCTTGCCCTTAAATAGCTCGCCACCTAGTGGTGCATAACACTAAAGAGCTGGAACTTCTGGCTGCCAGACAATCTTAGGATCTCCTGGCTGTACTACACACATGATAACAATACCTTCACGATGAGAATTGGCTGAGTACCTCTAGGACGAGTTAGTTTTTAGATGAACGGTGGGGTTTTGTGTTGATGTCTGGTGGCGCGGTAGTAGAAAGTTGCTGTCGAGTCGCAGCTGGCTCACGGTGACTGCATAGGGTTTTCGAGGAAAGAGACTAATAGAGGTAGTTTGCCAGTGCTGGACTCTGCGTAGCCACCCTGGAGTTCCTTGGCAGTCTCCCATCCAAATACTAATCCGGGGCTGACCCTACTTAGCTTCTGTGAGATGACAAGATTGGGCCCTCCAGGTCAGGGCTGGTGGCCTGCTTGAGACTTGTCTTCCAGCTTAATTCATCTCTAACATGGTTGCATGTTGCTCTAGGTAAAGTGGGTTGTACCAGTGAAACAACAATATGGGTGTTCAATGTGAACATTTTATAGTAGCTCTGTAGTAGTTTGTTGTCGTTTTGCTCAAAGAGAATCCTGGGAGCAGTACTTGGCATGCGCGAAGAATTATATGGGCAACCTACTCCTACTCCCATATATAATTCTTAGCCAAGGAATGGCTGTTAAAAGTAGTTTGTTGTCGTTTTGCTCAAAGAGACTCCTGGGAGCAGTACTTGGCATGTGCTAATTATATGGGCAACCTACTACTCCTCCCATATATAACTCTTAGCAATAATTCTTAGCCAAGGAATGGCTGTTAAACAAGCAGTGTGCCTGTAGCATAAATATTCCCTAAGAAGAATGGTGTGGGAGAGACACGCACACAGACAGACACAGGTAGACAGGAAAAAATTAAGTCTGGCTCCTTCTGTTTCTGATTGTGATTAAAGGTGGACCCCTGCATCTGGAAAGGATGACGGCTGTTGATTTAGCAGTCCCTTCTCTGTACTGTGCTAAGATAGCACCTTCCAGAGGGGTCTCTCAGAGGTAAAGTATCCTGAGAGTCTAGGATTTGTCACCGTCTCTGTCACCTTGTCTTGGCAGGTGCTGTGGAATTGGAAAATTTACCATTAAAGAAAGATGCCTTGAAGGAATTGCTGCCGTTTGAGGTCAAAGCTGGTAGGTGTTTGGAATTGTGCTTTAAAGGAGGGGCAGCCCCCCTCCACACCAGTTAGTGCTGCTGCAGCTGCTCGTGCTTTACATGTAGTAGTCAGTATCTTAAACAGGCTGTTTTCATTGAGCTATTGGATTGAAGCTGGCTTAAAAACAATCTTGGTGGCTTGTTGTAGCATGATTGCCCAGTCCTGCAATAATGCTGCAAGTAACGAGCATCCTCACCTGCACATCTGGAATATAAATCCTTTGTTTGTGACCTTGAGGTTTGCAGCACAGATGGAGCCCCTTAACCGAGGCAGAAGCTCCTTAATTGCAGAAGGGTGGGCACATGGAGCTCCTCCCTCCACTGATGTAAGGAGAGCCTCCAGATGCATGAGAGAATGCCAACGTTTGTTTTCTCTTTGGCAATTTGTAGGCTTCATTGGCAAGGTCACGCTGCAGATACCATTTTATCGCCCACACGTGGACCCCTGGGTGATATCGGTGTCCAAATTACACCTGATTGGCTCGCCAGAGAAACCAGGAGATTTTGACGAAGAAAGAGAGAGGCTGTTTGAAAGAGAAACCAAGAAAGCGGTCTTATTAGCACTGGAAGAAAAATGGAAAGTGAGTCATTTCGGAGTTCTAAGCAAATGAGAAGCTCAAGCTTGGGAAACATTTTGCATTTTCAATCTCAAATATACCTAAACATGTCCAGACCACCCAATTAGTGTTTATGCACCATAGAGAAAGTGGGATGGGGCTGGTTACATTAGTAAGCTGAAAATCATTCATACTTGTGTGTCAACGTAACTAAAAAACCAAGTGCTGTAACCCACAGATCTTCTGGTTATAGTTCTGGCTGGAAAGGGAGAGGGGAGGAAATACATGTGCAATCTGACATGTGCAATCTGAATGAAAATAATTGCTCCTTGTTAGAAAAAGTATGCATATATTCATGTGACAAAACTGTGATTTCCCATTGTATGGGAAAGTGATCGATTAGTCATGTGTGCACGTCATATGAAATGGATGCGCCAACAGGGGCAGTATCATGTAAGTTAAAAAATTACATCATGCATTGGCTGTGTTCCAACATCATGATAGATCATGGTTTGTTATGGGATTTGAGCAAACCCCTTTTAGCTACCATCTGGGGTTTGTTGTCCTGCCCCAAATCAGGGTTGTGAATGTAGGGGTTTGTAGCTGGATTGTTTACCAGTTTGTACTAACAGTGGTTTATTAACAGTTTATGAAGTAGCAAACCATGGTTTGTTGAGTGCTCTCACAGCCATTTGCCTCCAGAGGTAACAGAGCAGGCTGAATGTCCTCTCTGCCAGGAAGCAAGAGAGAAGCCAACAAAACTGCAGCTAATATACAAACCAGGATTTGTTGCATCCAGTGGGCTAACTGAAATTTGTTGCTCAGTCCAATGCATCCTGTCTGCCGTACACCACAGCTGCACCCATGTAAGGAAATTGTAGCATGTGAACAAGTGCTGCCTAAAAAATTTGAGAGGCATTTGCAGCTTTCCCACCTCTTGCACTGAGCATGGAGGCAAAGAATGGCTTTTTCTGGGGGGTGGGCTTTGTCAAAAGCAGAGAGCCTCTGTGGACATTGGTGGGTAGCTGATTTTTGAGTGCTGCTGGGCATGCCACCTTGGCTGCCAGGCTTATTCATGATCCCCTGACGTGTTTCTGCAATGAACAGCTGGCTGTTTGCTTGTTGAGAGGCTGCAGATCACCTGGAATGTGCTTCCCTTCCATCTCACCAAATCACTCTATGCAGCATTTCACATGCCCCCAAATTATTCCTTTCTCTCTCTCTCTCTCTCCTCAGAAAGAACGGGAGCAGGCAGCAGAGTCTTACTGGTATTCAGTCACTGCCTCTGTCGTCACAAGCATTGTAGAGAACATCGAAGTAAGTTAAATGGATGGCCAGTCTCTCTCACCTTGATTTGTCAGCGGTTTTGTTTAGGTATGGCCTGAGAGACTAGGCAGAATTCTCGGAACAGTTATGTGACACCTGTTTATCGGGGAGTGACCAAAATATCAAGCATTCCAGTCCTCAAGAACTCTGTCTTAGGTGGTTAAGCACCAAATGGGTTGTTAAGCACCAAAATTAAAACTGGGTGGGTGAGAGGGGGAAATGATGTTCGGGGCACGGTGGACAAGCCCCTTCCCTGCCCCTCTGAAGCATCGGATAGAATTCAAGATGTGTTGCACAATTAATTGCAGTGGGGAAGCTCAGCGGGGAAGCCTCTGCTTTGCATGGGTCCCAGGTTCGGTCGTTGGCATTTCCAGTTAAAAGAGGACCAGGGCAGTAGGTGATGTGAAAGACTTCTGCCTGAGACTCTGGAGAGTCACTGTCAGTGAATAGACAACACTGACCTTCATAGACCAATGGTCTGATTCAGTGTAAGGCAGCCTCAGTTATATCATGTGTAACTAGACTAAGTGGTACATTTTGAAACCTGTTTTACACCCAGCATCACATTGTGGCTGTTCCCTCTGCTGGGATCCAGGGTTGGAGAGCAGGCTTGTCTTCCTGTAGAGATAGTGGTCTTCAACGGGTAGGGGGGGGGGAGGTACAACCCCCATGTGGCCCTCAGACCTCCTGGTTGGTGGAAGAGGCCAGAGACTCCTTCCCCTACTGCTTCTTCCAAGTGTCCGAAAGGAGAAAAAAACGGTAACGCAGTTTTCATTTCTCTCCACCACCCCACCTACCCTTTTCTAGTTAAAAATCCAAGACGTCCATTTAAGGTTTGAAGACAACATCACAAATCCTTCGCAGCCTCTTGCCTTTGGAATCTGCATTAAAAACGTCTCCGCGCAGAATGCTGTGAATGAGCCAGTGAGTATTTGCTTGTAAAGACTTGCGTTGGATAAGGCCAGTGTGATGTCTTTGGGGGTTTGTGTGCGCTGTGGGAGCGGGATATTTCAAATGTCGGCAGATTGCCCAGATGGGGTATTAAATAGAAGAGGGTTGAGTTGAAAGATAAGACTGCTCCTTCAGTTTGGAGTGCAGTAGTGACCCCCGGGGGTAGGGTGTTGGCTAGAGATGAGGACATATCCCCCCCCCCAGTCATTTTTTTTTTTGGGGGGGGGGTGTCAACCGGTTTTTTGTTTGTTTGTTTTCATGTGACTTGACCCATGCTATTTGGACTTCAGGCACCTTGTGTTTTTTTTTTTTTTTTTAAATTTTCTTTTTGTATTTTTGCATTTGTATTTGTGTGTGCTTGCAAGCCTGGAAGTCGTGGTCGACTTCTGGTGACCCTTAGTAGGGCCTGGATGCTTCAGAGAGGTGGCTGCCTATTCCCTGCCTCTGCATCCCGGCCCCGGTATTCTCTGGAGGTCTCCCATCCAAGTACTTGCCAGGGTCGGCCCTGCTTAGCTTCTGAGTTCTGACGAGATCAGGCTTGCCTGGGCTATCCAGGTCAGGGCTTCAGGCACCTCTTGTCATAAGTCTGGAATGAGCTCTTTACTTGTTGGGATAGTGTGATCCGGGTTAGCTAGTGTGTATGAGTCTGACAGGCAGAGAGTAAATTGCTTGACTTAAGTCTGGCAGGACTGTGTTGGATACTGTCGTCCCTTCCAGCTCAGAGTGCCTTCTGGTAACTTCATCCTTTCATTGAGTGGTACCTGGAAAGTCATCTCCTTGGCTGGCAGTGACAAGTAGGACCTTTCTAACCAGAGTTACACCCTTCCAAGGCCATTGAAGTCAGTGGGGTTAGAAGGGTGTAACTCTGCTTAGGATGGCACTGCCAGTTGCCTTAGTGTTAAAAAGTGGTGGGGGGAAATTGCAGAGCGTGAGCTGTTTATGCTGGGGAGAGTGTCAGGCGTCATATTCAAATAGAGCAGGGGTGGCCAAACTTGCTTAACGTAAGAGCCACACAGAAGTAACATCAGATGTCTGAGCAGGGGTCGTTTCGTAGAAAAAGAGCTAGGGGAACTCATTAGCATAACTCATTAGCATATACCACACCCCCTGACATCACCGGAAGTGTGTCATAAGGCCACACCCCCTGACATCACCGGAAGTGTGTCATAAGGCCACACCCCCCGCCCCCAACGGTCCCAGCCGCCGCTGCCGGCCTTGCAGCTCCACTG